ATGTAGCCACCCCTCAACCCCCCATGCTTGCTAAATATCAACCAATCATGTAACTGCTAAATGGAACATCCCCAAACCTTGCGGTAGCCACAATAAAAACCCTGCTGATTTGGAATTCGGGGCTCTCAATCCTGATCCGCTGCGTCAGTGATGGTTCAGTGCCCCTGCTCGAGCTTGAGTAAACGACCCTCGGGTGTTTACATCGGAATCAGCTCCTTGGTGGTCTTTGGGGACTTCGCGATCTGGGCACAACACTCCAAGGTCAACAACAACAGCAAAAAGATCCGGGTCATGAGGGAACCATCTCCAAGATCCTGCATTTTTGGTGAGTCACCCAACGTCCTGAGCAGGGAGGTTGCTGAACTATAAAACAGTAAAGATACAACAAAAAGTGTGCCAAAGTAACGTCACCTGGAGGAAAAATATCTCCCATGCTTTCACAGGAAGCAACATGGTCAAGCAAGGCCGTGACATATCCTGATGGCTGACACTGACAGAGGAGCTAAGAGGCTCTATGCATGGTTCCAAGACAGTGCTTAAGGAGACTCAATTGACCTTGTTAGATAACAAGAGGTTGATTTTATTTAACATAGGTCGCTGCGTAACTTGGTCTTAAATACCCAGTAGAAAAGTGTAACTGAAGACAATATTTATTTGAGTTCAACAAAAGTTTTAAATATTTTAGCCAACAATGTTTAAAAAATTGTTAATTTTTAATCCTTTTACAGCCCCAATTAAGAGAAATTATGCTTACTATAGACAGCTAAGCCAGTCAAACACACTATAGATCCTCACAATATATAAGGACAAGCCATTGTTGGGTGTGCTCACTTTTCCTAAAAACATCCTCACAAGGGCTGGGGATTTAGCTCAGTGGTTCCGCTGCCTGCCTTGCAAGTGCAAGGACCCGAGTTAAATCCCTGGTACAAAAAAAAACAAAACACCCTCACATAAAACAAAAAGAAAGGGAGATATGTCGGGAGCAATGCTACATAATTTTAGGGGAAAACCATTTGATTAGGCCTAGTTCTCCTGCCTACAGGCCAGCTATGGCATTTTGAGACCTAATTCCATTTTGGCCTCCAGTCACAACTGGGACCTCAATGATCCAGTGATGCTGTGATTCTCCAGGACAAGAATCCACCAGTTGAAGACATCCTGGGAGGAACAAAATCTTCATCTTCTCAGTTCCTCATTGTCTTGGATTGTTACATCTTGTTTATTCCGATGTACT